ATGTTTCCTGCATCTATTCATTTTCTTCTATGTCTCCACTGATTGTTTTCCGTGACATATTTTCTTTTTCAATAGAGTAAATGAATACAAAACAAAAAAACAATTCACGTATAATTAAGATTAAAAATTACAGTTATCTTGTTAATGTTACCATATTCCATAAAAGATCAGTATTGTTTGGATTTATTTGAGGAATTTTGTCTACAATAAGATGATTGAGTTTTTGAATTTTTTCATGATTTTGTCCAATATTTGTTAGATAAAGAACAAGTATGTTTCTTTTTTCATCATCTATACGAAATACTTGATGTGTAAACCCGCATGTATCACCTGAATGTAATCGTATTTTACCAGTAGAATCTGGTAAAAACCATCCAAGATTATAATGATATGTATCCGATGGTGGTTCATCAATTAGACATGGTTTTGATGTCGATGATAATTTATGATAATGACGATACCATTGAAGATAATTATTTAATGACATATAAATACCACCATCACCTCTCGTTGCACTTGTTGAACTTTGATCAAACATTATAAAGTTTTGTTCATCAGTTTGTTTGATATAACCAAAAGCTCGATTTTTGATTACTGTTTGATTCGAATTATAAAGACAACTTGTTTTCATATTGAATGGTTGAAAAATATTTTCATAAAAAAAAATGTCTAATGATTTTCTTGAAACAATTTCAATAATTAAACCTAACAAAATATAACCAGTATTACTATATCGATAATGACTACCTGGTGTAAAAAATGTTTTATCATTTATAGTTTCAAGTACATCATAATCAGACCATTGATCATGATCTTCTAAATCATTTGTTTCATAATCAAATATTCCAGATGAATGATCAAGTAAATGTTGAATAGTTACATGATTACTAACAAAAGGACATTTGTTTTGAAATTGTTCAGAAAAAAAATGCCGAAGTGTATCATTTCTTGATAATTTATTTTGCTGTTCTAATAAAATAATACCATAAGCAGTAAATTGTTTTGTTAGTGAAGCTAATCGAAAATTAGTATCTGCTGTTATTTTTTCACACGTATCAAGATTAGCTAAACCAAAACAACGTTGATAGACAATATGATTATCGATGAGAATAAGAATAGCTGCTCCTGATTCGTTTTCATGATAATCACTATTGAATAAATCATCTAGTAGTGAAATAGTTTTGTCGTCGAACATTTTAACGGAATCACCCATTATATTATCGAATTGAATTGAATCAACATTTTGTGCATTCATATTTAGTTGCAATGAAATATATTTTTGGTATCAACAGGATACGATATAATGAATAAATGACACCTACTAATACAAAGATATAATAGACTTTAGTTCTTTTTATTCGTCTAAAAGCTGTCCTCAACCTAAAATTTAAGTCAACATTTTATGGGTTTAGGACAATTGCTTGCAGAGGTATTTTTATCTGAATGTTGGTATTTAAGTGAATGGAAGCAACCAGTACACTCACATCGAGCCTCGCGAGTAGCTGTCCTTTTCTCTATTCTATGAAATGTTAGTTGCTGGTCATAAAAATCCACTTTTTAGCTTTATCGAAATATGCAAAGTTTTATACTTTGTTTGGTTGTTTAAAATTTTCCAGATTCACTATTAAAAACTGGAGACAGACAAGTTCTTAAGTCGACTCTAGATTCAAAACTCTATTGATGATAGTGCTTTGCATTGCCTCAAGTCCATTACATATAGGTCGATTTTATAAACTTACCTAGTTTTTCTACGTGTGTGGTGAGGTCAAATATTTTATCTCATGTAACTTATCACACTCTAGTAACAAAAGTATACACTATTTGCTTTTTTTTCGTTTCTTTTGTGTTAAAAAAATCATATTTGCTAGAATAATACGATAAGGAGGGAAGTCGCTTATATAATAAAACCGATTTAAATTGGTAAGATCTCTGTTGAGTCTTGGGGATGCAGGTATACGTAATGCATAGAATATCCATACATACACTGACACTCTATGTCGTACTTCTTGAAGAATATTACATTGTACAGCAAAAATCTTTTCTTTTCTCTTATATAAAAATGTATACGTAAAATAAAACATTTTGTATTTATAAATATTGAAGCAAAACATAACATCAATTAAAAAATTTATAATAGAAGTTTTTCTTTATCAATCGTCAAATACGTTCCTATTACCAGGTCGTAAAAATGGTGGATTCATAAATCGTCTATGATCAGTTTTTTCTAACTGATCAATTTGATTCATTTCTTTATCCGATAATTCAAAATCGAATACTTGACAATTTTCATAAAGACGTTCCGATGTTACTGTTTTCGGTATAACAGTTAAGCCATGTTGAATATGCCATCGAATTATAACCTGTGCTGTTGTTCGATTTTTTAATTTCGCTATTTCTTGAATTACTGGATTATTTAATGCAGATGCATCTTCTTCACGTTCATTTGGTCGTTTTAAATTTGCTAATGGACAATAACTTGTAATAATAATATTTTGTTTTGCACAATATTCACGTAATACATGTTGATTTAAATATGGATGTAATTCAATTTGATTAACAGCTGGTCTAATACGAGCAGTTTGAAGAATTTCATCGATTTCTGTTGGTTGAAAATTTGATACACCTATTGAACGTACTAATTGTTGATCAACTAATTTCTCCATTGCTTTCCATGTATCAGCAAGTGTTATACCTTCTGCATAATAACGAACTGTTTTGTCTTCAGTTTGTGACCATTGATTTTCATTCATTTTCTTAAAAGCAACAGGCCAATGCATAAGATAGAGATCAACATAATCTAATCGAAGTTTTTTTAAACTTTCATGAATCGCCCATTCAACATCTTCTGGTACATGATGCTAAAAGTAAGAACAAAAAACGTTATAGAAAATTGAAAAGATTTCTTTTAACCTGATTCCATAATTTAGTGGTAATAAATAGATCTTCACGTTTTATTTTTCCTTGACTTTCTTCAAGAGCTTCATGTATACCATTACCAACTTCATTTTCATTTCGATACAACCATGCACAATCAATATGACGATAACCACAATTTAAAATCGCTTCTTTAACTATGCTTTGTACTTTCCCTGGTTCACTTCGCCATGTACCAAGACCTTAATTTATAGAAAAAATAAAAAAAAACATATAGATTATGTAAACTTTACCAAGTCGTGGAATAGTATTATTATTCGAAAGAATTAAACATGAATCTATATTTAATATTTCATTTATACGTATTGCCATATTTATAACAAAAAAAAAAATAATCTGAAATAGTAAAGACATAGGTTATATTTCTCATCGTCATTATATATATTCTTAAATGTCTTCACCTTCTTCTTTTCTTACATGTGGTTACCTTTTTCACTTGAATGAATGTTTTGTATGTCAATCAAGAATGCAATCATTCAAGCATTACATTTGTAGACGAAAAGTATCAATGCATAGACTAACATTCAACCAATTGTCATAATATCCTATTCCATATACTTCTTTTTTTTACTTTTTCAGAATCTATGGTAACAGTCCCTAATATTCAACTTTAGCGCCACCTGTTACTTGTTTAGTTTTCTTTTTACTAAGCGAAGATCTCTGCTGAGAAAATTTGATTAAAATCTGAAATATCATAACCATAAAAGAATTTCTTCATTCTGTTTGTCAACAACAAATTTATTGTAGCAAGTTAAAGATGCACAGTTAATAAAATTGCATTTACGAAAAAAAGACTTATACCGTTTTCATAAAAGAAAATAATCTAATAACTGTTTTGTTTATACACAATGGAATTTTGAGAATAATGTATGTATATAAGAAACAATTTTTTATATAACAACAAAAAATAAATGTATCATAATAAATCATCATCCGAATCAGTATCACTCGATGAAAGATTTATATTATTTGCTTCTTCATTTAATCCTGAAAAAATATCTGACGCAAATGAAGTTGTATCATGTTTTGGTGGTCGTGCAGCTGTTGTTACAGCTGTGTATGATGATTGTGATGATGATATATTTTGTGATACAGATGAATCAACAACTGTTGTTGAATTAATTATTGGATTTGGTATATTTACTAATTGCTGTTGTTGTTGTAATGTTTGTTCACTAATACGACCAAGAAGACCACGTCTCATATCCATATTTGTTGGATAGGGTCGTCGAATATCTCCTTGTTGCCAATTTTCTGGTGCTGTTGTTGAATAACATGTTGCTAATTGATGTGCATAACGAATAATTGTTTCAGATGGAAAACTTTTAGCTTGACGTATATTTGTTATCTTTTCACGGGCTTGATAAACAGCTGATGAAAGTACTTGTACAGCTTGTAATAAATATGTTTGTAAACAACGTAATGCACGTTCACATTTAAGTATTTCATCACGTTTCAATTGTAATTGTCGTTCTAATTCTTCATGTTGACGAACAATAACAATTTGTTGTGTTAAATAATCTTGTCGTTCAATTAACATATCAATTAATGTTTGTGTATCCAATTGATTATTATTAGTGTTATTATTACTATTTGATGATGTTGAATTATGCATTTGTAAAATTATTTCACGGCATATTGTATCCATTTCTTGTAAAAGTAATTCTAATTTACGACGAGTACCTAATGTAGTATTTTGTATTATTTCAGCCATGATTATCAAAATTATATTTCTTTGACAGATGATTTGAATAAGTTGACTGACCTCTATCTACATATATTCTTTCTTTCATGGTATTCTATGGAATTCTCAATATCAAATAGCCACTGTTATATTGGATAGAAAATTTTATTGAATAAAATGTTTTTATTTAACAATAAAACGCTAAAATGTGTACCTATAAATAAGAATATGTATTATATACAATAAATTAATTTTATACAAAAGTTTATAGAATTAATAAATCATTTCGGAATATCTTCGTAATGTAGTTGGTTTCCGACGATGAGATTTTTGTTTCGGATTATTTTTAACAAATAATTGAAAAAAACGAGTTAATGGTGGTAATTTAAACCATCGATGACATTTTTTCAATGGTTGATTCGATTGAGAATCATTTGTTGATGAAGATAATGAATATAACATAGTCGGTGCTGATCTTGATCGATTTATTGTATTAATCGATTGATTGGATTTAATAGGATGACGAAGTTTTTTTGGTCGATGAAAATGAATTAAATGATGAAGTAAATTCTTTTTGGAATGAGATTTAGGTAATGAATATGTTGGTAATTCCGATCGAAATGGATATGGTTCTATATTTCTATTTGAATTGATTATATTTGGTTCATTATTAACATATTTATTTGGAACTACAATAACAAGATCTTCATTTTCTTGTGATTTATCTTGATCGAAAGATTTCGGTTTATTTTGAATTTCTATTTCATCAAAAACTAATGCAAATGTCATTGATTTATTCGATATTGATCTTGATAATGCAGATGGAGGTTGTAAGAATGAATTTTGTTTTTGTAATTCTTCATTTGTATCCTGTTTTTTAAAACTATCCGTTTGTCGATATTTTGAAAATAAATTTAATATTGATGTATTCAATCGTTTAAGTGTTCGATGTTGATCATGTTTATTCAAATCAGCATCAACAGATAAACATTTCGATGAAGATGTAATAATATCAGTAAATGTCATTTGTTAATATATTTCACTAAAATGAACTTGAGAAATTTTTTCTTTGTACCTAATATATATAAGAGAATGTGCTTTAATCTGTAACCTTTATTTTTGCTGATTAATATTCATGAAGAAAAAAAGGGTGGTTTCTATCAACTTACGATCAAAGAGTTCGTACAAAAAAATTAAGTAATAAAGAAGAATGATCTACCTAATATACTTAACAATTGTTGAGTGATGTATATATATATCATGTTGAATACCTGAAATGAGAGATTGACTTAACATAACTACGATATATATATATTTTTTTCTTTTTGGTTCAAAGAGAAAAATGATATTTCAAAGAAAAAAGTGATTGATCTATTTGTTTACTGAATGACATCAGTAAATTACTGAATAGAAAAAAAGATGGTGTTGATTTTCATCTATGTTCTCGTAATTCGTTTTCATTAATATTTGTTTTTATATTTACTTTGAGATTAAGCACAACAACAACAACGTAAGTATTAAATATGCGTATAGGAAAAATGTACCCGTCTATCTTGTACTTAATCAGTCATCACTCGTATAGTATTGTCAATTATAATATTCGATGTCATACTCATTGATGATCTAATCATATTAGAATTTCATCTTCGATTACAAAGCTATATATATTAGATAATAATAAAATTGTTTGAAATATTATTGTCTTTTTTTTATAAAATGAATAATTATGTTGACATATTATAATAAAATCGTTAAGTTCTGACATCATTTGTTACATGTGCATACATTGTTGTTATGAATAATAAGTACTTTTATATGATTTGACCTATCATATACTTTAATCGTGAATGTACGTATGATACTTTTTTTTGTATCACTTAATTGATATATATGTAAAAACGACAATGACACTATGAAACGAATTTAATGTGTGAAATTAATTAATAAATCAAAATGTTGAATAATCAGATTCATGGTGTGCGGATACACTTACTATCACATGATAGCTATACCATTTATGAATAAATCTCAAAGCTCCTATTTCTATTACAAATAATATTTGATGAGTCATATCCAATGATACACTCAGATTCTCGAATAAATCGTTAATTACTTTATTGAACCTAGAATTTTCCTGACATATTTTTTCATGCAGTTCCCGAACTTTATGAGATTGTAACTTCGTACGATTACTATTCCGGTCAATATACTTGTAATAGTATGCCGTATAGAAAAAAAATATAAGTATATACTGACTTAAAATGTCAATTACTAATGATTTATTGTTTTTTCTAATTTATCTCTAGCAGCTTTTCATAAATTCAAGCAGACTTATAAGAAGTCAGTTTTCTTAATCGAAATTTAATCAATAATATGCCCGAAGTAGTTTATTCAGTTGCATGAATAGTCAGAAGACTTTAAGCTTATTATACTCCGAATGATAAGTAATCACAAACGAGAGATCAATAAAAGTTTTGAACAAGTCTATATAGTAAATCATCAATAGTAATCCAGTTATCCAAAAAACAATTTATATATAAAATGAAAAGGAAGAAAATTGTCGAAATAAATTTAATTCACTATAAAGATCTATCAGACAACAAGTTACTTCGATACGACCTAATGATAAAGGTATGCAATTAAAACAACTAGAGATATACGGGAACAAGTTTTTTTCCATTCCAGTGTCGGTGCAGTCCCAACAGTTAATAGTTTAATTGGTTTCAACGACTGTCATGTTTCTGGGTAGGGTATCTAAAAAAAGAGATTTAGTCCCTGTTCTAGTTCCAACTACCGCGATCAAGACTGGTCCCGCACATTTCTACATACAACACATGATGAATCATATATTTAATTCATTACTATAGTTATATATGGATGATAGATCATAATAAATATCTGAATATAAACTAACAACACATAATTATTAATAATCAATCAATATATGAGTTGTTAGTGATAGAGTACAAATTTTTAATTGTAATTTTATTTGCTTCGAAATTTTGTTATTATTGATATTTTACAATTGCTAAATAAATATTTAATAAATAGTATAATTTCATCATCTATGACTATTATACAGAACAGACGTTAGGATACATCTTAATATTAACTCAAACGATTCTATTCAATAGCTACTATTCTTTTATTAATAGATCATAATTTTAAAAAAATCTATCGTATTTTGAATTATATTTGTTTCACTTCCGCGAAAATACTATACATGAATGTATTGATTAAATGTTAAAAGAAAATGTTCATAGAATACGATTTTCTCTGAATGAATTTTATTTCGAATAATTAAACTGAAAAAAAGTAATGATTAATGGGACATATTTATTAAAGATAGAAAAAAATTATTCAATAAATAGAATGAAATCGTTTTAAGCATTACAAAAATTATTCTTACAACAAAAGATTGAAATATAATTATTGGTATATGGCACACAATTTGATGAAGCACCTCGACTAATTATTTTATATCCTTGATTATAACCTCCTGTAAATATTGTTGTTTTCTAAATGAATTAAAAATAAAATTTCATTAAAAAAACAATTTCTTTATAGTACTATGCATTGATCATTATTATCAGTTGTTACAATAGAATCCATTTGTGACAGAAGAGTTGAATTAGCACAATCTGAACAAGAATAACATTGAACTTTTTGACATTCAATATTCATACCTAATGAATATCAATAAGAAAAATTTCGTATAATCTTAGTAAATTTAACTTACATTGTAGAAAAAGAATAGTAAAGAAAAGTAATAGACTTCCTTTCATTAACATGATTAAAAAATGAAATGTTGTACGAAGAAGAACAACAATAATGAATATATTATAGTATTGACAAATGTGGAGGTAGAATATCAACAATAAAAAAGGAAGATGATTAGTAATAAAATACAAAGATGAATCTTTTCGTTCCACCTTCAAAACAAAAAGGAAAATATTTATTCACCTTGAGTGTATCATTCATAGACAATCGATTTAAAACGAAAACATTGAAAAAATACAATACCAGAAAAGATGTTGAAAATTCAATTACTACTGATCGCAACTTTTATCTTATACAGTAAGTCATGTATTAATTTTCTATATGAATGAATAGATTAACCAAATTTATAAGATCATTTATTATCGAACTATAAGCTTGTATTTTGTTGATATAATTTCTATTCATAGATATTCAAACGGTCAATTCTATTGTATGCTATCAATGTACGGATTGTCCTGAACCATTTACATCAAATTATCCTTATGTTACAATAACTAATAATACAAATTTTCTTGCTCAATGCACTGTAAATTTTGTTTTCGATTTCAAGACATAAGTTCCTTTTTTATTTTTAGAAAACAATCGTGACTTTAGGTGATAATAGTCGATTAATATCGAAAGGTTCTGTTTTCTTTTGTCCTACTACTACATCAACAGCAGATATTCAAATGTACTGTTGTGGTAGTGATTATTGTAATTCAAGTTTTCGTCTCGGTCCATCTCTATTTCTATCGTTGTTTATTTTAACAAGGATATATTTCTGAATATACAAAAACTAAAGACAATAAATTAAATAATATCGATTTTGTTTTTATTTGCTAACTGTTCACGAAGTTTCTAAAAAAAAGAAAAAGTGAATAAATCGATTTTTACTTTCATTAAATAAAATAAATCTTACAAGAATTTCTGCTTCTTGTTTTGCTATTAATGCTCGATAATTATTACTTGTATCAACTTGTTTACGTAACATACGTATTTCTTCATCATGTAATATTCGGTCATTACATTTAAGTCTAAAATAAATCAAAAAAAACTATTATCAATATACTTCAGAAATTAATTACTTTAATAATTCAATTTCTTTTTTTAATTGTTCATTTTCATATCGTATATCAGTTATTCGTTTAACATCATTAACTAATGATTGATTAACAACATTAGTTGAATTCATTGTCGATGTCATTAATTCAAATTCCTATGAAGAAAGAAGAGAATATTCTGAAATAATCACAGATTAATTTCATTCACCATTGGCGAAAGTCAAGGGGGTTTGTTGGCGAAATTACAATGGACATTCGCCAATGGGCGAAAGTTCAGTGGATTTTCGCCCACTGTAATAATACAAGATTAGTATAAAATGCATGTGAAAAATGAATCTAATATTATTATGGTCTACACGCCTCGATATAGTTACGAGGAGCTATTTTTATACATATGTAATCACATAATGGCACTAACGAATTTCCTATATGTATGCTCGCGTAAGTACACTGGGCTTTCGTCAATTGGTGAAATTCCATAAGGTGTATTGGCAAAAGAACGGTGGATCTTCGGCAAAACATCCCCGAGCCAAGGGCGAATCCAGGATTTCTATGAGGGGGTGGCGGTTTATAAAAAGAAATGGAAAGTAGTATTTGTCGAAGTATCTATTTTCGAGGGGGTAGCGGTCATCGGTTCGCCTAATAGCTAGATCCACCCCTGTCCCTGAGCTTTCTTCATTATCATGTGTACTATTAGCGAATTTCTCGTAACCCATTCATGTCTTCAATCATGTGTATAAACAGAAGGACAGTCAACATAAAACCCTCGTATACTGAATACTTTTAGGAGAGATTTTTCTATGAAAAATAAAATATTTACAATAACACGTTTTTGCAGTTGTTCATTTTGTTTAGTTTTTTCAATTAATTGATTTGAATTATTTTTATTGAGACTAAATATAAGAAAAGAAAAATATTTAAATACGAAAAAAAAGTCATTTTATTAGACCTATTTAATTTTTCTTGTTCAATTTCACTTAATTTTAATTTATTTTCAGTATCGGTCAATTGATGTTTTAATTCATGAATAGTTTGTTCAAGTTGAGTTACTTCTTTTGAATGTAAATTTTGATTCTAAACATGAATATAACATACGACGAATCTTTTATTAAGAAAAATAAATTTACGTTTTGTATTTGAAGTTTTAATTCAAGTTTTTCATTTTGTAATGTATTTATCTGTTGTTCATAGATCGAAATCGGAGTTGAAGTATCATTTGAAGTAATTGTTTGTTGTTTAGTTCTATCTAATACATGTTCTAATTCTGAAACTTTTATTTTTGATTCATGAAGAGAACGTTCTAAAGACTAAACGAAAAAAAATCTGACATTATAGAAATAATTCAAACAAAAATCATATACCTCATTTTTATTTTTTAAATCATCCAACGAATTTTGTGATTCACTACGTAATCGTTTTATACTTGCTTCCATCGTTTCATTGCACGAAATTGCTCGTTTTATTTGAGCTTGTAGAACAGTTTGTTCAAGATAAGATGACGAAGAAGAATTTGATAAATCAATATTTGAAAATGAACGAGAAGAATTCATTAATGTATTCGACGGTACAAATCCTAAAAAAATCAACAATAAACATTTATTATAAAATTATTTCAATCCCACCTGATCTATCAGCATTTAATAGACAATCAATAGATGATGTTTTTGTTCGTATGGAAGATCCACTGTTAGCTAGAGAACAATTTGGATGATAAAGTCCAGTAATCGATGAACGCGTCATTGAAGTCATCTAATAAATTAAAGATTTTTTTTAACAGACAATTGTATTTATTTATATTATTATAAACATCAATAAAAAAACAAGACATAGACATATATATACATATTTATTGACATAATAGAAAAATAAAAACATTCGAATATTCACTAGTTGCAAATAACTAAATTCGAACATAAACAAAAACAAGTTATATTTATCTTCTGTATAAAACTCGTTCTTGAATATATCGAAAACTAAGAATCTCATTCGATACGATAACGGATGAATTCTTCAGTTAAAAAAAACAAGAAAATTTGATCATACGAACTATAACTAACAAGAAAATTCATTAGAATAAAACTAATACTGTACTGAAAAAAGATTTTCTCAGTATTTTATATTCCCTTTGGGATATTATTATTATTACGAAAGTGAAAAACCTGTGATTTATATTTGTAAAAAAAACAGTGATCGATTGAAGGGAACAAGATTAATTTTTTTACTATTTCGATTGAGATCGAGTACGTACAGATAAAAAAAGGAAGGAATATTTTTAGATCAAAATTACGAGTAAAGTTACGAATAAGAATAAAATCGATTGAAAAAACATTGATGATGCAGTATTAGTTGAGAAACGTATACGTTTACAACCGATATTATCACGATGGGTAATAAATTGTTGACAATCCGGTGTTTCTAAATTAGAATAAAATTTAAAAAAGAAAATTAATCATTTATATAAATCAAATTACCATAAACAAAAACTTGATCAAGAGCTGTTTTATATGGTTTATCATTTGTTGTTGCATTTATAACATATGAACCCAAATCACTAGCTTCAACATTAATAATTGTTAAACGAGAAAGTATACAATCAGTACAAATATTTGGTTCAGGTATAGTTGCTTCAATTTTATATTTATATGAATTCCAAATAGGTCGAAGAACATCAACAGTCATTGTATCGGAAATTTGACCACCATAATCATTTTTATACCAAGTAATACGTGGTGGTGGATAACCATGTACATAACATTCAACATATATATCAACCATAAAACTAACAGCTTGACCAACCATTGGATATGGACAACGAATATAAGGTGGAACTAAAAATTAAATAAATAGATTTTACAGTGATGAATGACAAAATCGATACATACATTTAACATTAACTTTAAGAGTCCATACATCACCATATCCAACAAGATTAATTGCTAAACATTTATAAATTCCTCTATCTTGTTTTTGTATATCATTTATTGGAAGTTCAACAGCCTGAAATATTTAAATAAATTTCTTTTATAGGTTAACGAAAATATACATACACCAATAACACGAATATTTCCATCGGGTAATGGAGTAGCATCCGCTTTCATCCATTGAATTTGTGGTGGTGGTAAACCTTGAGCAAAACATTGTAAAAGTATATTATCGCCTTCGCTAACTTCAATATCTTTTGTTGATGATTGAACAACAAATGGTTCACTATAAACCACCAAACGTCGTCTGAGAAATATTGAATTATTATAACCAGTATCAGCTAACATACAAGTTAAATCACCATAATCTTCACGATCTAATGGATCAAATATTAAATACCAATCACTTGAATCCATATCATGTTCAGCATAAAGTCGACGAGTTGGTTGAGCAAATTGAAAAACTTGATCATCTGTTGCTAAGAAAAATTTCTTATTATCATTTAAACGATGTAATTCCCAACTAACCTAAAATATATAACAATAAAAACATTTAAAAAAATTGAATAATAATATATATACTTACACTTCGTTTATCCGTATCTGTAAGACCAACAAGTGTACATTTAGCTATTAATCGTTCACCAGCACGTGGTGCAATTGGATCAAAAATGATTCCATCTTTATCACGCATATCAAAACGAGGATTTGTTCTAGCATTGATTAATAAAACTAAAATAGCAAAAATGTTAGTTTGTCAAAACATTTTGAGAAATGAATCATCATTATCAATATTAAAAACATCGAATTGATTGATAAGGAAAATTGTGTTTTCAATATTTTACTTACAAAAACTATTGATAACAATTAGAAATATAAATTGTAAAACCACAGATATTCTCATTATTTGCACGTGTATATAATAACTTGCTAATATTGATTTGAATTTATGTCGAAAAAATAGGTTAGATCGATGTAAAAGCTTACAATCGTTTTTTTTTCTCTTTTCTTCTTTTCTCTTCACTTTTTTTTATGTAACACTCTCACATCGGCACACATACCTTGGAACATGAAGGCCTTATATAAAGTTTTTTTTCTTCTTCTTCTCCTCCTTCCTTTCATCATAGAAAGAAGAAGAAAAACCTTGACAGAAATAACAAGAAGAAGTAGCATCAGGACTTTTGCTGTACTGCATAACGAGAAAAAAAGAAGAGAAAAGTTCGATGTTATAATAGTTCTTTTTCTTCCTCTTGCATTTTAATGAAAAAAAAAGTGTAAATGCATACTTGATGAATTTTACGTCCTCTCGTTTTTTTTATTGTCCTTCTCTAAACTAAAGAATCACAACGACATTGAAAATTGTTACATAGAATACATTAGTGAACGAAGGAAAAAAAAAGATCTATGTCTTTTCTTTGCTCTCTTATATGAACAGAACAAACAGTGAATATATAAGAAAAAAAAGTAATTTATTTAGGTCAGTAGAAACATGCTTTTTACGTAACACGTGGTTCAAGGGAACTGTCTTTTGATGTTACATCAGAATTATTATAATAATCGCTTTTCTTTTCTTGCAAATCTCTAAGTAGAGTTTTAATTTTTTTGAAAACTATGCTTTTTTTTCGTTTATGATATATTTGAGATAAAAACAAAAATCAAACTATGTAAGTGTTTGATAAAGAATAAAAAAAAATTACATACTGATATATTTACATCAAGAATATAAAAATATTTTATTGATAGAATCAAGTGGTTTTTCATTGCTCTATAATTCAAGAAATAAATAAATTATGATTGATTTTCGATAGAAAAAAAATATTTTCTCACCTCAGGTTTAGCAATGTTTTACAAAAATCAATAGATCGAATTTTCTGGTTGACAATACATGAGTATGAATTATCTAATTTATCTATCTTTACAGTTCCATCAAGGTCGAAGGAAAACTAAAGCCAATGTGATAATAATAAGGATGTCCGTTCGAAAGGTGGCGTACTTGTATGTTCAATATTTTTAAGAAGAGAAATTTATAAGCAACCAAATGTTTTCTATTATAATACATAATGATTAAAACTAATATAAAAAATAACAAAATAGAAACTTGAATAATAATAACTTTTTACACTGAAATTTAGTTGTAAGACAGATAATTCATATTTATAAATGAATGATCTTTCTAGCCGAATACCTCAATTTTGTGGAACTCACGTAGATTTTCGAAGAAAATCGTGAGTGTAAGTTTTAAGTTCAGGTTTCCCAGCTCCCCTCCCCCTCCCCTCAAATTCAATAAAAATACTCAAAAATCATTAAAAATAGCTATAAATTGCGAGATTTGCTATAAAAAATAAGCAAAATGGTTAAATACAGCTATAAATTAGTAGAATTTAATAAAAATAAGCAAAAATTGTTAAAAATAGCCATAAGTGACCGCAAATTTAATAAAAATAACGAAAATGGTGAAAATAGCTATAAATTAATTAAATTTGAGCAAAAAAAGAAAACAAAGCGCTTAAACGTGATCAGATATTTTGATGCGAACATACGTGAGTTCCACATTTTTAGCCCCAACTAAGCTGCGCTGATAAGCTTTTTCATTAAATAATATAACTTCTTTAATATATACAAGAACGATTTTTTCTATTTATTGGATGTACTATTTATAGATTTATTATTGTTTAGGGTTTGTATTTTTGTACTACATGAATGCAATCAAATAGCTTATAAATACTTTCATATTTTTCTATTAGATTATATATTGGTAATTTCAAACGATAGCTAATTATTTATTTGTCTTAGTGAAAGCTTATTGACTCAAAGAAGAATAAACATGTCTGAATAGATTAATCATTTTTATATATAAGCAGTTCAATATAAATCAGGTAATATGTGATTTCTAATAATAATCACGCTATGGAAGATGTCATACAACTCACTACAAATAAACTAAATTTCTTAGCTAACTTTCAAGTAATTAAAAATGATTTTGTTATTTATTCATTCTCGTTCATTGAAACGTGTTTCAATTGAAAACATGTTCCGTCTGTATATATATATTTCTCGAGATTTATTTTAATAAAATTATTAAGTTTTTCTTTCATATTTAAATTTTTTAGAACGTATGTTTGTCGTATTGAAGTTCTTTTGAAAAGAGTGAAACTATATTATTTATTGATTGTATTTTTTCAGTAGTCATCAGTGGCGGATCTAGCTGTTCGGCGAACCGGCGACCGCCACCCCGTTGAAAATAAATACTTTGATAAATACTCAATACAGGTAGAACACTATAGGTTTCTCTCCTAAAAAATAACACTACTTTCCACTTTTTTTTTATAAATCACCACCCCCTCATGGAAATCCTGAATCCGCCCCTGGTAATCATACTTCCCATTGGCTTTAACTTCGCATTCATAATTATCTCAATAGTTTGTTGATAACATTCCAATGTGAATAGTCTATTGTTTGATGAATCGTTTTTGGATTGTGTTTTCCATTGCCTATTATCATTTGTACTTACCATCAAGGATGAGGATTGTAATGCAGCCATTGTTTTGATCGAGTATTGATGATGAATTGTAAGCGAACAGAAAATATGTTTTACTCAAGAGAAATCACCGACTATAGAATGTATAGAAGATCACACATCTTCGAAAAATATCTATCAGGTTATCGTTGTAAAGGGTTAAGGTAAGTTCAAAAAGTCGCGATATATAGGCCAAGATGATACATAGAGAAATTAAGGATTTTTATTTAGGAGAAAAAGAATAATTCGAACATTGTTAATCATTTACATGTTTCTTTGTTATATTTATTATTATTTCATTAATTAAGTCGCATATCATAAAATGTCAATCATCCATATGATTAGCTTGAATTCAAATAACTAAATAAATTCTTTTAAAATCATTAAGATATAACTTATCGTTTTTTGTTTAAGAAAAAATATTTTTCCTGATATTTCCAATAAATTATCATGTTTTATATTATACTTTATTATCACAATAGTCTAAGCTTTAATAAAATATAATCATGACATAATTCAGACATCGTTGTTTACAACAAAGAACAGACTTACAAAATAAATTGAATCTTTCGTCTGGATTATGTTCATAAACATGTCATATTAAACGGAATTTTTCTGTACTAGCTCAAATTCTTATCCTTACAGTTTATTAAGACTTGAAATTATTTCTGACGTTTTAAGCTTCTTTTAACAGATATAATATAGGATTTTCGAAAAATTCAATTTAGCTATTATTAGAAGGACTTATATAATAACATTGTTAAATAGAAACTTGTCAGATAAGATTTCAATACATAAGCTATCTATTTATTTAAATATTTCAAAATTCTTGATATATCAATGCATGTCATTTAGAAATAGTTTTGCTATTCTTAAATATTTAATAAAATGGTTCTTCAAGAAATTAGTTAATTATAATATTCTTATCTTTTCAACAAAATATGTTACCGATAAGAAAAAAAAATATTGTTAATCTTCTTATTTGAATATATTTCATTATCGTATATCCAATACTTAAATTATAAAAATATTTCAAATAAAATATGATTATTCATTAGAACAATTTCACTTTCCAACTCACAGAAAAGAATATGTAGCTTCTACAAACTTTTTTTGTTTTAATAAAACTAAGTTATAGGAGTATATTAAATATGTATTCAAGCATAATAAACTATTCTAAATGACGTTTGTGTCTTATTCAAACATACTGGTAACGTTATTTTAGTTATAAACATAACAGTCATGGGCATCTTGCGAACAATAACTATTCGTTTACACAATAGAAGAAACAATTGTCTTAGTTGATTGTATTTTCATAATATTTTAAAACAATACACTACGTACGTATTATACTCATACAAAATATTTTCGATTAGTTATTGTTATTTATTTGGTTAATGAAACATTATTTTCTGAATTTCTTTATATTTTAACACGTACATCAATAGTAGTAATGAGAAATAATGATGAAGGTTATTTTTCAAAATTATTATAGACATCGGAATAGAAGAACTATTGGCTGGTAAACGTTTTATTTTTATTCATGATAAATATTAAATATAGGAAATGAAAGTTATAATTATGGTTTTAATTTTTCAAATAATGAATTTTATAATCATGATATTTTTTTAAATGTGACCCTAATAATATATCTATAAGGAAATAAATTGACCAATTTTAATTGCACTTTAACTACACTTTAAATCAACAATAAATATTAGAAAGATTATCACGACAACCTGAATAGTATTATTCTATTTTTATCGATAGCACTTATAAAGATTTCTCGTTTTCCTAAAGGTTATTTTAACCGATTAGTTAATCTAGATATGAATATGATAGCGGATATATGATTTACTTAATAACATAGATATACAAGTGAAATCTTTGATGTGAAAGTCATTTCCTTTCTCTTTTTTTTCTCTATCCTTCGCTTTCTATCGTTTTCTACTTTGTTAACTTAGTCTCCGCCTCCAATATTCACCGAATTGCTTCACTATTTTCTTCTTTTTCTCTCTCTCTCTCTTTCTTTCTCTTTTTACTGGTATTACTATTTTTATATCTATAAAAAAATAAGATTTCTGAGTTAATATAAATAATTCGTAGCGTGTATTTTTTCATTTTCAATGCTTCAGGATGACATATTATGTCAGATGAATATTGACATTTCAATATGGTAATATTCATCTTTTATTCTCATTTGCTTTTTTCCAAGGATAAAATCAAAGAGATGATAATTAAAACACGTCTGCAATAGATTCATTTATATCATTTGTTTTTTCTTTTGAGAACATTTTCAAAGATAATAAGATCACCAAGAGGAAATGATGAAGATAACATATTATCGTTTCTTGAGATTTACAGCTTTTTCTAATCAAGACAAGTTTTAAACCGCACGAATGATTTTATCATATTTTCTTTTCTCTATTGTCCTATTGAATTTGCATTGTTTTCTTTTTTTTCTTCTTCTTCTATGCGTCATTAACTATATATTTTTTTCTTTTCAACTTTACTTGAATCAAGCCGATCGATATGGTAATTATTTGATATATGTGACTGACGTTCATATATATACGTGCGTATATAGAGACAAAGAGAAAATCAAGATGTTAGAATTTTGCTTTGCATAGTTTGTTAAATGACTTTCATGTCATTGTTAAGCGATCTGCGCGAACGATTGAATTCTTAGTAACTATTGTTTTATTGTTGATAGTACTTTTCATTTCGAGTATTTATGAATTAATAAATAAATAAAGACTATATCGTATTGAAATACAAACGGAGACACGATCGAGTAATTGAACAGAATCGTTAAGACCATCTATAGAAATTATAAATGATTGACAAAAAAAAAATATTTTCTACTTTTTTTTTTGATTTCAGATTGCCAGCAAAAATATATTATCAATAACAATGAATATTCAACTATCAACATTATTTTGCATCTGCATTGGTTTAGCAATTCCATTATTGGTTTTATCTACATCACGACATCAAGAAAATGAATATATTAAAGATGATATCGATAATGACATTGATCGATTTTCGAAATTAAATTATCAACGACAACCAATTCATTCCATTATTAATGATCATTATTTTATCAAAAGAGGAGTTGATTTTGAACAAATTTTAAGGCCATGTAATCAAATGCCAGCTAGCGGTCGTGGTCATGAATATTCTGATTGTGTACGAAGTCGTATGTTACTTATGGGTAAACGAAAACGAAGAGAAACAAGTTAGAAAAAACAACAACAACAACAAATTTCAATATGGTATCGAAGTAACAACAAATACAGAATCAAGCTCTCTCTTTTTTCTCTTTTTTTCAAAATATTGAACTTGTGCAGAATTTTGGTGTATATTCTTTATTTTTCTTGTTCATTGGATTACTTCCTTATACCTTACCAACTAAATAATATCAAGTAAAGTTATAAAAATAAAGGAGAATTTAACAACAAAAACAAAAGAAAAACAATTTTTTCTCTTCTTTTTTTTTTAAATTATCTAAATATAACAAACGATATAATCAGTAGCATATATATAACAGTTAAAAAACATGCGTGTTTCTAATCTCTAGAGGATCATTTACCGATCGGTTGCTCACATTAAACGATATAATCATTAGTTGAGAATTAACACTATTTTAAACATAATCTACGATATATATATATACTTCTTTTTCTTTTACATATACACCTTTCAGACTATGATTTCCTGTTAATTTCGACAAATACATCGTGTCACATGATGAAAAACATATTTCATACTAATACTGTTTGTTAATAAAATAAACTATTTTTAGATCATTTTGATGAATAATGAGAAAATATTTAGTGTGAAAACTAAATATCATGTTAATTACAAAATGATTTGGAATATAAATGATCTTTATGGAGAAAGAATGATTGTATATGTAAGATTAATCATTATGAGTAAATTATATTTGAATTACAGTAAAAATTTTTGTATATGACAAATTAACAAGAAAGATAATTATTTTGATATCAAAAGCAGATTGCTATTCATAATAGTTGGTTGGTAGCAAGGTTTTCTAATATAATGTGTTGAAGACATTTCATTTAATGTTGTCCTTGAGATAATTTTTGATGAAGAAGCTGTCAGTAGGATTTGTGTCAGATTAAAATGCCTATCACAATTACACTATTTTACACATAGAAGAAAATGTTTTAATAGCGTTTCATTCTGTTTGTGAAATGTATGTTCTCTGCTGATTATAATATATCAAAAAAAGAAATGAATGTAAGAGCTAGTACATTTAAATGTGTTTGGCATTATTATAAGAACAACTAAACTAAATATTGAGACACATACAATATTCTTCAGCATATCTAATTACTTTTTATTGCACGAAACTTGTTAAAAGAATTTGTCAAAAACATGACACTTTTTGTTAATTGATTGCATTGAGAAACAATTCAATTTTTCTATTCTACATCCTTATCTAATAAATTTATCAGTCTTTCAAAAAAATATATTATATCATAAGGTGCCCGAGTATTTTATAGTATTCTTCATTGTGTTATTTCAAAAGCAAAGCTATTGCTTTCAATATATTAAGTTTTTATTGATGAAATAAAACTCATAAACTTTTTCGCAAATATCAACAAAAACATTACTGTTTTTAACGACGGCCAATTGTGCTGGAAAAGTTAGCTAAGACACCGGCAAGGCTGAGCATAGCATCTACACGAAATAAGGTCACACTATATTAAAAGTATATAGAATTTAATATACATACTATTCATTGCAGTTTCTACAAGAGGTTTGACTTCTTGGTGATAGAGACCGGTAGCATGTGAGAGAAGACCATCAATGATTGGTCCACGAGCTTCAGCACCACGTTTTCCGAAGAGTGAATCTAAACTGACACCGTTAACACCAGCA